TTCGGATCCAGCCAAGTCAATGGCGGATGCGGTGCTCTCTCTGACCATATCTCCAGTTGTCTGCGTGACCTTGACCCGCAAGATCGCATGTGATCTGCTGCTGTGTGCGTTCAGCTTGGTGGAGGCGGTCACACGATTGTTGTTGGCCTCAATGTACAGCTTCTCAAAGTCCTTCAGGTCCTCGCAGGACCGTTCGGACAAGCCAACCACGACCGTCTTGCCATCCTTTTCCCGCAGCGGCAGCCCGGATGGGGTTCGCTTCTCGGGCGGCTCGAGCAGGTCGAAGACTTTGTCGTTGTAGATCTCATAATACGACAAGGCCACCTGGACCGTCGTCTCCCCATTGGTGTCTTTGGCGATCTTCTTCCCCCTACGGAAGACGTTGCTGAGCAGTCTAGGGATCACCCCGCGTTCTGCTAGCTTGAGACCGCCGCGCATTGTGTGTGTTTTGCCGGTGCCCGTCACGCCATAGGCGAAGATTGTCACATCGAGGCCTTGGAAGAGGGCTTTTATGTGCGGCGCAACTGGTTTGAGTTAGCACCGCGCCGCGTTCCGCGTCGGTCGGTTCCTCGAGTCGAGGAGGGTGCTTACCTTCTGCGGTAAACAACTCCTCCTGCGTGGTGGACTGTTCGTAGACGCCGTTAAACGCGAAGGAGAACTCCTCTGACTCGTTCTTGGGGCTGGGGATCTTGACGATGGTCAATGGCTTCCCCTCCTCGACGCGGTCCGCGCGGACTATGACATCTCCGCCGAGCTCTTTTTCAAGCAACGGACGAATTCTGGCAACGACGCGGACAGACATGCCGTCAATTGACACCGGGCGGGGGAAAGGGGGAGACGATGAGTCACTCGCGGACTTGAGGGGAAAATGAGTGGCGATGGGACTCCGGTGTCCTCGGCATAGAATGGATCGTGGTTTCACACACACGCACCAAGCAGGAAGGAAAATGCAACTGTTTGGCGGAAGCTCAATTGGATGCCAATGGTCGCCGCGGCAACCAGGTCGGAGTGGGCCAGACCCACCACGGAAACTGGCGGGGTTGGTCCGAGCTTCTTCCCGCTTGCAGGGCGTTGAAGCGTCCGAGCTTCGACTTACGTGCCTGGAAATTCTTTGGACCTTGAATTGAGTTGTTCTTGAGTGCAAGCCCGACAGCGTCAACGTCGCCGTCAACGACGGCTCGCACACGACCATGCGGGGCCACTCACCTCTGATTCGAGCGGCGCGACACGCGCGGCTGACGGTGCCCTCAGCCAGAGCTGGTTTCGTTTGCCGGCGATGCAGGTCAATCCAGATTAGCGCATCCCCCACTACCGAGTCTCGACCAACCGATGGGTTTGGGGCCTATCCAGGAGGTTCGCGGGATTCAGCTGGTGCGCATTGGAGGGCATAGCATGTCGACACCCACGCTGACGCTCAGTAGATGCTCGATTCGAGGTGCTCGGCTCACCACACTCGCTCCTCTCCGTCACGCTCTCGGCATCTCAGAGACTCTACACAAGGAGGGGCACTCTGGTCTCCGTAGCAGGGAAGGTCGAAAATGCATGTCATGCCCGTCCACTACTGATATGCTCAGAGCTGCCGCTAACATGGTTGCGTCCAGGCACAATCCACCTTGTCCATCCTCTCCCCATTGAGCCGTGCTTTCCTAGGCGTCCCGTTCCTCTACCAGCGCATCTCCTCGACGACCCCTATAACGGCGTTGATAGGCACCAAGTCACCTTCCACAACATTCTCGGTCCTCCACCTAGATGGCACAACGGACTGGATGGTTGCCCAGCGTAACGCTCTCCTTGCATGGACGGGCCACACACTGGCTCTCTCGCCACGCATCCAACGAGGCCTGTCGCTGGCACATTGGGGCAACACTCACCTTACTGGTCGTGGGCTGGCGGCGCTTTCAGCCCCAGGGCATATCTACGAGCTGACCCTTGCTGAGGGAGAGGAGATTGTTCTTCACCCTTCACATGTGGTGGCATACTCGATCAACAAGAACCCACCTCTCCCCTTCCGGCTCAAGAGCCTGCGCCTGCAGATCCCTTCTGTCCCCAGCTCGGTCACCTCCGCGGCAGGGAATCTAGTACCAGAAAGAGTTTCGCGGTTTTGGAGGGCAATGCGGGATACCGACACCTACAAAGCCATTGCGCGCTTCCTGTACGGATTGAGGACCGCGACAAGGCGATCGATTTGGGGTGACAGGTTATTCCTGCAGTTTCAAGGCCCAACAACGATTCTCATGTCAAGCCGTGGCGTGAGGGTTCGAGACGCTCTGACCCGAGACGATGTGAACGAGATCGCGGATACGGAAGCGGGGGTCGTGCCGACCGCTGTAGAGCTCGCAATGAAGCCAAAGGTCGTGGAAACGCTGAAGCCCACCAACCCTCCTGTTGCGATCCACGTTGCAAAGGTGGGCAAGGACGGGAAGGTCACACTGGAGGAGACGAAGGATCTCAATGAGTTTGTGCGGTGAAGTCGGGGAAGAGAGTTTAGTCCCCTGTTTTCTTTGTAACATAGATGCCATTGTTAAGCGAGCCAGCGTTGCTCGTGAGTCGGCTTGTAACTTTAGTCCACAATGGCGCGATAGAGGCGCATGATGATCTTCCCTGGCTATGCAGTCAAGCGCGAATGCTCAATACTATATGGGTATCCTACTTCGCGCTATTCACGACGCTCACGATGTCTAGAACTCGTCGTCCAGCTCGTCCCCACGGATTTCGCGACCTCCCAGCAGTTCCTCATGCCCGTGCCCATCGAAACCTCCTCTATCTCCTCAATCGATGCCCACTTGCTACGATGAGCACTGCTCTCCTGACCGGTACTCAGGTCCTCAAACATATGAACGTACATGGTGTGCTTCAGATGCGAAAACAGCCACGTTACTGTTGCCATCTCGCCTCCACATCGAAGCTTATCCAAAGCTGCTGTCTGCGTTGTCTTTCTCTTCCTATCCCCCGAACCCTTTTTGCCCTTGCTTAGCAGTTCTGCGACATACTCAGTCGACGCTGCTTCGCGAGCCTTGCACAAGTTTTCGGTCGTTTTTGGCAGAGTATGGCTGGGAAGCTCCCACATATTGGCGAGCAACCCTTTCTCGGGTCGTTGGTGGATGAGATATTTACCGTCCGAGCGACGACGGATACCGCAGACGACAATTTCCTCCTCGCGGACCTTCTTCTTTGGCTTTCGAAGAGGGAATTTCCGGGCGTGAGGGACGATGATCTCCATCTCTCGATCGCTGGGAGCTCGGGTCGCGCCTGGGCTGGAATCTGACTTGGAGGGTGCGGTGAAGTATGCAGACACTGTTGATTTCTTCCCAGCCAACCTGGCCTTCTTGCGTTTTGGCGCCGCTTCATCGTCTTCGTCGCTGACCTCCTCGCACTCTGCCCACGGATGACAGACACCGCAAATATCCTCAACATCCTGCAATACCCTCCCCCCCTTCTCACCCCTCGCCAGCGCCAGCCCCTCCTGATACGCCCGACACGTCTCAGTAACTGGACACGCCCTACAGTTTGGCTTCGGCGTGCAAACCGTACTCCCCAACTCCATCAACGCCTGTCCCCATCTCCCCGGCACCTCGCTCACCGGCGTCTCTTGCCCATCCTCCACCCCATCCCTCGCCACAACCCTCGCCAGCTCCGCCGCCACCTCCCAAATCCCCTCCACCACCTCCCTCCCCTTCCCATCCCCAAACACGCCCAGCTGGCGACACAACACCCTCACCACATTCCCATCCACCATCGCCTCCGCTCTCCCAAACACGATCGCCGCGATCGCACCCGCCGTGTACCTCCCCACCCCAGGCACCCTCGCAACCAACTCCCCCACCTCGGCGGGCAGCAGTCCCCCCATCTCACCCACCACCACCCGCGCCGCCTCGTGCACCCTCTTCGCCCTCGAGTAGTACCCCAGCCCTTGCCACAGACTCAACACCTCCTCTTCCTTTGCGGCCGCCAAGTCCTCAATGGTCGGCCACTTGTCCATCCACCGATTCCAGTAGGCAACCACGGTGGCGACGCGCGTCTGCTGGAGCATGACTTCGGAGATCCAGACTTCGTAGGCGCGTTTGGCGAGGAGGTGATGGGGTGTAGACGAGGGTTGGAGGAAGGGTTTGCGCCAGGGCATGAGGCGGGATGAGTGGACGGTTGTGAACCATGATAGGAGGGCGGTGCGGGATTGGGGCACAGAAAGGAGGAGGGGGTGGTGATAAGATGGGGGGTGGATGCGGGACGGGGGGAGAGGGTTGGGTGGAGGGGGAAGCAGGGTTAGGGGTTTGGGTTTGAAGTCGGGGTTGGGGTTGGCGATGGGTGCGGTGGTGTTGGGGTTGGGTTTGGAACTTCTGGATTTAGTAGGGGCGAATTTGCGGCGTTTTGTCGGCGGTGGTGAGGGCTCGTCATCTTCAGAGGAGGAAGGTGCGGGCGTTGGCTCTGGGCTGCTGCCGGCGTCGCTTCCTGGGTCGGGAGATGCAGTCGTTTGTTGGCGCAGATTGGAGGCGGCTCTGCTCGCCGCGGCGCGTTGACTTCGCCGCATCATGATAATTTTGTTCGGTCCCCAAGTTCTTTCTCCCAGGTGCAAGGAATTTAGAGATATTTGCTGGTCGAAAAAGAAAGAAAAGAGTGGTGCAGGTTTGTCGCTGGCTCGATTGCGACGCGTCGAGTTCGAGTGCCAAAATCGGGCAGGTGGGACCAGCTGGCATCCGCGCCCCTGAACGGGAGGAAACAAACAAAGCGGGTCCACTCAGGGGCGTCAACCAAACCGTGCTCTCCGTCACTCAGGGGTTCTTTCAGACGCAACCAAGTACCTGCTGGAAAACCGCAGCTTATTATAACTTACTTTATCTTCGCCCAAAGTCTTTCCGTCAAATAACATTCTGTGTATTCCCAAAGACTTGCAATCAGGTGATTGCTGCCCCTCCAAGCGACTCGACAACGATGTCTCCCACGTCTCTTGCCCCAAAGGATGCAAACTCAAAGTCAAAATACATCAATCCAGCAACGAGTTGAGAGGTTCGTTGGTCTAGCGGTATGATTCTCGCTTAGGGTATCAACTCTGAGTCACAATTTGCGAGAGGTCCCGGGTTCAATCCCCGGACGAACCCAACTTTTTGCTCTCTCAAGCCATCATGTTGCCGAGAACGTCCCGCCCTCCTAGATCTTTGAAAGCGTTGGTGTAGACATTGTGCAAATACCTTTTACGTCGATATGACCTTGTTCAGCCGATATCTAGAACGATCGCTTCCGCGAGGTTGTGTCAAATGAAACAACACTCAAGCCCCCGTCCTCTCGATTTCCTCTGTCTATCATGTCGCCTTCTTCGCTCGTTTTGATCCTTATTAGGCTTGATAGTCCGAGTCTCTTGTCTTTGAGCTGTGGCAGAGAGCTCTAATGAATTTTTCGGTGGTGGCACATCCAGAGCTTGCGGAGACGAGACTTTCGGGGAGGTTCCTATCCGTTCTGGATGCAGTTGATGGCTCGTCACATTACTTTCACGCCCACCGCTCACCTCAAGGTTCTCAAGAAGCTCACACTCCGCTGCCGTGAAGGTCTTGCGTAAAAGGTCCCTCACAGTTAAGTTGTGTAATCTTTCGTCAGCCTTCAAATACCTGCCCCTGGATCGCCCCGCCGGAAGCACCGGGAATCTCGACGGTCTGTCCTCTGTCTGGATCGGCCGCAAAGATGGGAAGTCATCTGAAAGGTTGGCGCCGGCTCTTATCAACGCGGTCGTCAGTTTCACGATTGTTTCCCGGTCGTTGCCAACCCCACGTGCTGGAATGGTTGTCGCGAAACGCGACCAAACAGATATGGCTTGGTAAAAGTCCCTCGGCCGGGCCCCATGCTGGAGTAGAAGATTTACAATCTCAAGCGAAATGGGGTGTGATGCGTCAGGGGGGTTGATATCACAATCAAGAATCGGCCATTCCCCTGAGGGCGTTTCTCTGATTGACCATCCCAACCTCTTTTCGAGGTACTCCAGCAGACCCATCTGCGCCGCGAGGCCCAAAAACGTGTGCGGAATGGGTGTTTCAAGACTCTGCCATCTGAAAGTCTAACGTAGGCTCTTTCTGCTGCATCAATGAGAGGCTCCCACGCCTCCGGAGGTCGGCCCGAGTTTCGAGCTTCAGAAGCAAAGTAGAAGAGCATTTCCACATAATATCTCATCCACTCATGATCCCCATAGAACGGTGCCACTTTAACAAGAGCCAGCGCGGAATGGCAGCCGTGCATAGCAAGTTCACCACTAGGGGTGAGTGCTTGGTCAATGTAAGCCTTGATTGTAGGTGACTCGTGAATGAAATCTCGGACCGTTCGATGGAGGAAGTCGACTGTAGTGGAGAGAAACAGGGTTTTGTCCAGGCCTTCCGTATCCGGGTCGACGGTGCTATCGAAGCCCACAACCTCTAGAAGACCACGGGAGCGCCCGTCAAGACGTCTTCGAAGCCTCTCAAGCCTCAACATAAGCTCGTCCTTTGATAAAGGAACCTTTGCCAACCTGGTGGCAAATTGCGGTTCCTCTCCAACGTTGTCCAAGAAGGAATAGAACATTGCCGGCACGGGCTCCCCTGCCGCGACGGTAATGTGGAAAGACCGAGCAAGTTGGAGCCGATAGATACTGGGCACGGAATTGATCAGATGCTGGAAGAAGGTCTTTAGATCGGGTGGAAAAGCTTCCAGGCGCATTCTCAAAGTCCGCACGGAGTCATGATAGGTGAGACCCTCAAGAAGATTTCTGACAACGAGATACACCCAGAGAAAGACTCCCTGTGCTTTTGTTACCACAGAGGCAATGAATTCGCGATAGGCGGGGTTGAGGCGACTCAGGGTAGAAAATTGAGGATGCTTGTTGAGCTTGTCGGTAACATAGCGGGAAATGTCTCCTCGAGTGAGATCTTCTAGCTTCAGGACCCAGTCGGGGTTTCCGCTGAATTTATCGCTGAACACGAACCAGGGGCGACTTGAGACACATAGCTTGATGTCTTCGGAGTGCTTCATGTCCCGTAGGGTCTTTAAAAGATCGGTGTGACTGCGGTTCTCGTCTTGGAATTCGTCGAGGCCGTCGATGAAGAAACAAAACTTCACCGGTAGCGCGGTCTGAGTCACCACGCTCTCGTACATCCGTAAAAGGATCTCCAGACTCCAGGAGCCTGAGTCCATCTCTCCACCGTCTTCGCTGCATGCTATAGCCTCTCGGGCTACGGGAATTAACTCTGGAGTCTGGCGGAGGATTTTATAGAGGACAGAGCGAAGGAGACCCTCCTGCGACTTTTGGAGCTGTGTCCCAGCATTCTAGAAGAAAAAAGTTGCCATCACGAGTCTCTTCTCCCTAGCCCAGGGTGTTAAGTAGAAGCAAGTCTCTTTGGCGCTCGAAATGAACTTTATTAATGTGGACTTTCCTGAACCCGGTTTGCCCTGAATCCAGAAGACGCCGTTTTCCGTGCTGAGCCAGTCCCTGAACCGTATTGGGCGTTGTGTGCGATTGGGGGTGGAGCTGTTGAATATCCAACTAAAGGTATTGACATGTGCCTTTTCTATCTTCCGCTGCCGGGTCCGAATGTTGCCGAAGCATAACGACTTCAAAAGAAAATGGTCTCGCTGAGTAGTCTGAGCCGCTACAGACAAGTGCCTCACCATGGACACAAGATCGCAGAGTTCGCTGGATATCCGTAAAGCCTCGACTTTGTCAATGATTGTGTCGTCTTGCATGCAGTGTTGAATAAAGTCGTGCAGCTTGGCTACTGGCTCTGGGTTCATAAGGGGCGCTTTGGAAGCGGAGCGTTGCTGTACCATCGCTGCTGCCACAGCCTCGGCAAGGTCGTCCTTCAGGGCCGCGAAGTTGTGGCGTGTCTCGATCTCATGCCTCTCGTTGGTTTCCTGGAGGGATACTATCATTTTCGACAGCTCGGATATTTTATTTCTGCGATTTGGTCAGCGGGTTTCGCGGCCCTGGAAACATGTGTGTCTTGCGTCATGGTCCCTTGGAGATGGGTAGCGATGCGCGTCTGCAGCTTTCCGGGGCGGTTCAGCAGATCTTTGGTCTTGTCCCTTCCCCAGACGTCCCTCAGAGCGACCAAAAAGCTCTTCCATCTCGATGGATTCCTCTGCTTGATTGTGGAAGCGGCAGTTACAACCTGGTCGGCAATCGACCTGCTCTCTTGTAGGAGTGACCTCAATTCGCCAGTGGCTTCCGGGTGGTCGATTAACAGCTGATTTTGCTTGTTGATGTCGCTGATGAGGATGTCGATGAACCGGGCCTCCTCACTCTCGCCAGCTGGAGACTTGTAGATTTCCCGAGCCTCGCTCAGGACGGTCCAAAGAAAGTCGACAAAAGAAACGATGTTGCCTGCAAGGCCGAGTGCCGCAAGAGGCTCCATGACTCGGACGCGGGGTGTGTTGTGTGCCAAAAGGGAGCTGAGCAGAGCAGGCTTCGATGTTGACAGTTGAGCCTGGACATGAGCTGCGCATTCTGAGCCTGATGATCGTAAAGGCCGCCTGCGGAGGCCCCTTCCATTTTCGCTGCACGTGCAGCACAGCTCGCTTGGGCGACGAATCGAAAAAATCGTGACTCTTGCGTTGTTGGCGACACGATTGGGAAGTATCCATTGGGGGGAATTTCTCAAATTTGAAGCTAAGCCGCAATAGGCATCTGTCGCAAAAGTCGTGTGGTAATAGCCTCATTCTAAGTCAGCGGCTAAACCGCTAAGTCGTTCCTATGGCCACTCGTTTACCACAACATCACTATATATAACGTTAACTTCATGTTACGACCGGTACCTATAGAGAGATAGGCAGGGACGCAGGGTTGGGGTTAGGTCAGGAGTCCCGGGTATGTTCGGGGTCACAGACCAATAGGTTAAGGTAAGGAGGGATAAGCACGGAAGCAAGTCCTCACAGACGGGGGGAGTTCACTGAGTCAACGGTCGCATGCAACTATAATACACTGTAGCACATAGAGTGACAATGCAGTAGTGCACAATTGAAGTTGGATCAATTGACAAAGCGAATACTTGCGTGAGGAACCAAGACGTTTCCTCACTCAAGGAAAACTAGCTAGCTATCTATACCAAGTGTTCTGTCCTGGTCCCGAGGTCCCGGTCCTACTGGCGCGGGACGCCGGGACCTTTCTTACTGGTGACAGGTCCCGAGGTCCCGGGCGCCAAGCGCCGGGACACCGGGACCTCTATGATTGGTCCGTCAGGGCTTTGTGGGTCGTTGCACCCTGGGCCCAGTGATTGGTCTTTCCAGTTGGTCCGTGCTTCTTCCGGTCGTGACAAAAACACTATAACAAGCTCATGGCCGCCAGCCAGCTAACCTGGCACAGCATCATCGATGTTCAAGAATCTCAAACATGACTTGCTTCAATGACGGCCAAGATTCATCAAATAAAAGTAAAAGTCATGACTTGCTCCTTCTCGCGATTCGAGATGGAAAGCGGAGAAAATGGGAGATGGCTGGAGCGCATGCCTCAGGCGGAAAGCGGTCTTCCACGCTGACTTTTGGCAACCCCTCATCAGCAAAGTGGCCTCACGTCAAAACATGCCTCAATCAGCTTGATCCAACAGCCGACTTCAGGTTGCAAGCATTGGCTTCAGAGCCATCAGAACTGTGCGGCACATGCAGATGGAAGTCGCCACCTAACAGCAAAAAGTAAAAGACCTCAAAAAGATAGCAAGATGGCCCTTTCTAGGATCGCTTGCCCACTGCCAGAATTGAACTGACGACCTTGTCATTACTAGTGACACGCTCTACCACTGAGCCAAGCGGGCGGTGATGAATCGGCGAGGATTGCATCGTTGCGTCAGCCGCGAATCGAACGCGGGGCCCATCGATGGCAACGATGGATTTTACCACTAAACCACTGACGCTTCTTGATGGGGTGAAATGCTCGGAAAATGGCTCTTGTGTGGGTTTGTGGGTGGAGTGGCGGGTAAGCGAGGGCAACGATGGCACAAGGTGAGCGACACCGCCCCTTGACCATACTCGACGCCGAAATCCACAGGGGCTGGACTGAAATTATCTGGAAGTGCGAAGAATACCATTGCACTCGTCGTCCGGCCACCGGTCTCAGCCCTGGATGACATCGGGAGGCTCCTGTGGACAACTT